GTTAGTAGTCAGGGTCCTGGGCCACATCTCATACTCAACAAGGGGCATCAGGAACTTTGGTTTTTTTAAAGTGGTGCCTAGTTTTCTGTGAGAGATGAGCAGAGGATGCTGGGGCAGGGTTGTTATCCAAGGGCTGAGAACTAGTCCTTTGCATAGCAATGAATGAAGATCTGATGAAAGTGAGGATCTAATAACAATGCCTACAGCAATCAGGCACTATGCAGGATATTTATACTGTGCTCTCTCAGTCTATCAGCAACACCCTGATATTCTTCTCCTAGTTAATGCGGTCCTCTCCTACTTTACCTGGCTCCTCAGAAACTATACTTGACCTGGCCAGCTTACAACACAAGAACATTTAACAGTGCCATACTGAATCAGACCAATAGTCCATCTAGCCCAGTATTCTGCCCTCTCAGAGTGGCAGAACTGGATGCATTAGAGGAAGAGTATATGAACAGGGTATATCTAGAGCACTGGTGCCCAATATTTTTGCCTGGAGGGCCAGACTGGCAGTGTCCAGTCTGCCTGTGGGCAAGATGCAGTAAGTGTTACCCATCTGGGGCACAACAGGCACCATCTGGCTGCACAGAGAAGGAAAGGGGGGCAGGCCAGCCCCAATACAGCCCCACAGTGGAAAGGATCTTGGTCCAGACCCATGAAAAGGAAGGGGGCATAGCCATGCACTGTGGGGGGAGGGCATAACCAGGCCCTGCAGGGGTGGAAAGGGGCTTGGCAAGGCCCCAATCCAGAAGTGGGAAGGAGGGGATGGGGGCATAGCTTGGTTCTGACTGGCCACACAGGGACTGGAGTTTGGGGATTTGGCAGGGGAGAGGATGGCCATATTGATGGCCACTGTTCTACCCCTGCCAATTTTCCTGGCCTGTGGGGAGCTCCGTGGGCTAGACGAGATGACTCTGTGGGCCATATTTGGCCTGCAGGCCAGAGGTTGAGCACCCCTGATCTAGAGTGATCTATCCCGTTGTACTGTGCCTGGAATCCACCATCTTTGGTTTAGAGATGCCAGAGGATACATCCCTGACTGTTCTGTTAATTATTTACAAAATAACAAGTAACCAATAAATAAACACATTGATATACCAACTAATAATGGCCAACTATGAATGGCCTGACTATCCGTAAGTTTTGTCTGGTCTATTTTTGAACCCTATCTGCCTCTACAGCCTCCTATGGTAATGAGTTTCACAAGTTAACTATGTGATGCATAAGACACACACACTTTCTCTTCTTAGTTTTAAACCTGTCTCCTAGTGAATTACAGTGGGTGCCCCCTAGTTTTAGTATTCTGGGACTTGGTTCTCTAATCACTTTGACTACACCCTTCATGATTTTACAGACCTCTGTCATATCTCCCCTCAGCCTTCTTGCCAAACTGAAGAGTCCTAGCTTTTTAAAATCCTTCCTGGTATGGCAGTTCCTTTGTATCCCTGATCATCATGGTTGCCCATCTCTGTACCTTTTCTAGTTCTAAATCCTTTTTGAGATGTGGAGACAAGAGGAGAGCATAGTATTCAAGATGCAGACTTGTAGCAGGAACATGCCTCAGGTAGCAGTGACCCCCCCCCGGGGAGCCACACGACTCCTGCTCCCTCTCTGGCTCCTTGGGGTACTCTCCCTTTTCCTTGCCTGCCATGCTTTGATGGAACTATTATGGTGTTAAGGGAGGCTGCCCCAGGGTCCCAGAGTAAGCTCTAGTTCACTCCAGCCAGCTGATGCCTCTCATACTTGGCTGGCCTCAGTCTTGCCCTTTGGGCACTACATTATGGCTCTCCTGGCTGTGCTTCTCAACTCAGGTCCACTGCCCCAGACCTTGGCTTCTGGGCCCCAACCCCATCTTCCATGTGTGCGCTCTGGGTACCTAGCCCTGTCTCATGCTCAGGGCCAGCCCTCCAGGTCCCTGACCCTAGGCCAGGCTGCTCTTGCTGCCTCAGCCCTCTGTGTCCCTGACCTCAGGCCAGGCTGCCTGTCACAGAGTGCTCCACCAGGCATCCCTCCATGGCCTCCACACCTTCCCTGTAGTGGCAACCCAGTTCTCTGGCATCAAACTCAAAATATAACATAAACTCAAGCAAGCCGCTCCATGAACTAAAAGTCTTCCCCATTCTGGCTTAATGTTAAGTCATACCTCCCTTGCAGCCCTTTCATCCCAGCTCCCTTGGGTGGCTTGGTTTCCTGCTCATTTGTCTCCAGCAGCCCTTCTGTCTCTGGAGATCCCCTCCCTGCAGCATGCAGAGCTAAACTGCCTGTTTGGGTTTAGGCACAGGGCTTATGTGCTCCGAAGCTCCACCCCTTCCTGTCACACGGCTCCCCAGCCACAGGGGTTTTCCACTTGTGCTGATGGCCAGCCTGCCCTCGCCCCGGCCCCCCAGCCCCAGGGTTTTTCCACTTGTGCTGATGGCCAGCCTGCCCTCCTCTGCTGCAGCAGCTAGCGTCTCTCCCCTGTTAAAGTGACAGGGGTCTTGTCCCCCCTGTTACAGGGCTCACTATGGATTTGTATAGTGGCATGATGATATTTTCAATTTTGTTTTCAAGTCTCCAATATTTTCTGATGCCTAACTTTCTTTTGGTTGCTACTGCATATTGTTGATCTTTAAGAGAACTCTCTACAATGAATCCAAGGTCTATTTTCTGAGTTGCAACAGCTAGTTCACAATCAAGCACTGTGTGCTTATATTTTCTAGTTATTTTCTCTCGTGTGCATTACTTCACACTTATCAACATTGAAATTCATCTGCCTTTTTTTTTCTTTTTTTTCTTTGCCCAATCGCTTAGCTTGGTGAGATCTTTCTGCAGCTCTTCTCCCTCAGCTTGGGATCCGACTACCTGGAATAATTTAGTATCATAGAAAAGTAGGCCTAGAAGGGATCCTCAGAGGTCAACTAGTTCAACTGACTGCCTGAAGCAGGATCAACTCTATCCAAACCACCCTATGCAAATCCATTGTCTAATCTATTAGCAAAATGACATGGTCATCTCTGACACAACTACAAAACATAACAACCTAACTTGCCAAAGGTAAAACAGAGGGACTGTGGTGGCTAATGTCCTGCTGCTGCAAAGATGGTTAAAATATGCTTGAGAGATCCCAGGAAGAGGACCATGCCTGCCTCTACAGAGGAAAGTAAACCCCCCAGAATCCATATCAGTTGGACCATGGGGTAAAATTCCTTCTTGACCCCAAATAAAGTCTGACCCTGACCATAGGGGCAAGGCCCTCTAGCCAGGAACCTCTGGCTTTTAAGTCTCAGCAGAAGCACTGGCACACCCTAGTCAAAATCCCCAGTCCTGGCTGTGGCCCAACCACCAGTGTCTCAAAGAAAGGCAACCCCTCCTCACCCCCCACAACACATGTAGCTGAAGGAGGGCAAAACAATCCTTCCTGGCCATACATGGCAGCCAGCAAAGCCCAGAAGCATGGGGAATACATACCCACAGTAGAATATAGGCATAGCTACACCTAGATCACCCCTGACCAATGCTTGTCCAACCTTTTCTAAAACACCTCCAGTAATGGAGAATCCACACCTCCCTTGGCAATCTATGTCATTGCCTCACTGTTCTACCAGTGAAGACTTCTTTCCTGATATCCTATCTGAAACTACTTTGCTGCAACTTCAAGCCATTGGTCCACATCTTGTTCTCCACAACAAAAAAGAACGGATGTTCTCCAGTAGGAATATGGTATGTCTACCATTGATGAGACCCTGACTGGATTTTGCATCCAGTTTTGGAGTTCACATTTCAAAAAGGATGCCTAAAAAGGGTTCCGAGCATTATTTAAGGTCTGAAAAATCTCCCTGAGACTGAGAAGAGTTTTAAGGAGTTCAGCCTATTTGATAGAGGGTGAAGAAGTGGCTTGATAAAGGTCAACAAGTACTTACCTGGGGAAAAGGTTTCTGATAACCAGGAGACTTTAATTTAGAAAAAATAAATCAGAACGATCCAGTGGCTGGAAGCTGAAGCTAGAGAAACTCACATATAAAATAAGGGTAAATTTCTAACAATCAATGTGATTACAAGTTATTGGCTTGATGTAGGACTTAGTTCTCTGGCTTGGTTATGGAGAAGGCTGGACTGTAATGTCTCTTCTGGCATTCAGGTACGTGAGTCTAAATACTGCTTCTTTGCTTGTTCTCCAGCAAGAGTTGATCAGTTTGGCGAAGCAGTGTGACCTGCCAACCAAAAAGGTAGAGAGGTGGTTCCGATATCGGCGGAACCAGGACCGACCCAGTCTGTCTAAAAAGTTTTGTGAGGCCAGGTGAGTGATACATTCAGTGATCTTGAACCACTGAAACCTTCCAGCAGGGTTTGAGTTTTGCAGTCAAAGCATGGCCTCCCCAGCACCTTTACAGTTAAAGCTGGAATGTGCCTTCATGTGTTCTGCTTGCTTCTCCCATCTTCTGTCACTGAATCAATGAACCTCGCTGCCTTCAGCCAAAGGATCCTGCTTTGCTTTTCAATTTTCCCATTTATTCAAATAGGAACTTCTGTCCTGAAAAATCCCGGACAGCCGTATTTGTTTTTCTGCATGCTACATACTGACCTCCTGCTGCTGTTTCAGAAGTCCTCAAGTGGTCAGCCTGGTGATACCAGTCAGCTTACCCTCCTGTGAATTTCCTAGTTGATTCCTGATACTGAATCCTCACTGTAACACTGCTCTTTCACCCATCCATTCCCCCACCAAAAAAAAATAAATTACAAACACTGGACCACACCATCTGCTGGTATGATTTGCCCCAAGCTCCATGCAACCCAGCAGAGCCCATGGCGAGGGCTAGAGCTCTTGTTGGCCTGTTCCCTCCATGATACTGTGACAAACCTGAATGCATTTGTTTTTCTGGCCCAGAGGCTGATGCACTGTTTTCTGGCATGTCCTACCTCAGGCAGGCAGGCAGGCAGGGTCTGTGAGCTAATGCTGTTTTATACAACAGTGAATCGCTAGCACCATCCAGTGGCTGACACTAAGCCATATGTTTTGTGCATATGAAGAATAAAAAGATAAGGAATCAGATAAAGGAGAAGACTTGGTAAAATCCCTACTTTTAGCCCCATTCCACTGAACCCAGCTAGCATGCTACATTACTGAATTGCCAGGGATGCATGGAAGTAAGCACAAATGTCCCATTAGTGCATCTCTGAACAGGGTCAAAGACAGGGAAGAGTCACATTGTGATTCCTAACGTTGCTGGCAAAATAAGCCCAAAAACACAGTGCTACCTCCATTCCCTCCCCAGAGAAGTTACACTGTATTAGCTGGTCTTTAAAGAAGAGAAAGCCCAGAAAAATGTCTTTAAGAAGTGAGGGGGGACTGGGATAGAGGCAGCTTGACAGGTATTTAGTGTCTGTATCGTTTGAATGAACTAATAAAAGGTACCTGCATCACTGCTATAGGTCATATGGCTTCTTAAAGAGCAGGGTGAAATCTTGTACAGGCTAAAATCAGTGGAAGTTTTACCGTGATCTTCAGGAAAGTCAGGAATTCTCTCTACAGCTAGGATTCAGGAGAGATGCCTTTGATTCTCAGTTCTCTGTCTGAATGTGTGGTTTGCTCTTCCATTTCGTTAAGTAAAATATTTACAGGCTGAATTGTGAACCTCATGCCCTACCCTCAGTGTGGAGAACTAGAAGACAATTTATCTACTCTGTCCACTTCCACTTCTCTGGTTTGGCTAATCCTACCAAGAGTATAAAACTCTTACCAGGCAGGTGACTGTGTAGAATATTCAAAGTAAAATGGACTGGTAGAATATGTAATGAAGAGATCCAAGATGCAAGTAGAATAGGAAATACATATGTTTGGGGCATCTTTTAAAAATGCCCAATTACGGATTTCTAAGCAACGATTCCTTCAGAAGCCCCAGAATAAGACAGAGAGGCTGACCTAGAGGCACTCTCTAGAGCAGGGGTGGCCAACCGGGGTGGTATAGGCAGCATCTGTGTTTGGCATTCCACAGATTGGAGAGGGAACAGGGAGCACAGTGCAGGTACTGCAGGGAGCAGACAGCAGAGCAACAGATAAGGCAGGGCAAGAAGATCGAACTGGCACTTGAAGAGAATATGCGACTTACCTTGTGGTACACCTGCCAAAAAGTGTGCCCCCCACTGCTCTAGAGTACAGGGAAGGCTGAAGCACTGTTCGTATATCTGAATGTAGGTGACCCAAGAAAATGAGCCCAGAAGAGGGAAAAACGATGTTGTTTGACTACCTCCTGATGTGGAAAGGATCGTGATCACTGATGATTATGATGGTGACCTGAGTGATCTTAGACAAGTCCTTGTGCCTCAGTTGCCTCTTCTGTATGCTGAAGCCATGCTTTTTTACTTCCAATTGTGGTTGAACAATTACTGTTTGTAAAGTGCATTGAGATCTTTGAACAGGAAGTGCAAACTCTCTCTCTCATTTATTTTCCTTTGGACTAGCATTGAACCCACATGGTGGTTATATATCTCTTTGCTGTAAAAATATCACCCATTGAATAAATGAATGAATGACTACCTGACACACAGAGTTGCAACCTGACCTCTAATGAAATTCTAATATTATTGGTTTTGTTTGTTTGTAGCTGGAGGTTTACATTTTACACAGTTTCTTTCTTCACCGGACTTACTGTCCTACATGATGTGAGTATAATCAGCACCACCGTACCAGGGTACAAAAGAAAACATAGACAAGAACTAGTGGAAACAATAGATTTTGTAATGCAAGCATATGGCCCCTTGGACCTGAATTTCTCCTGTCCCCCATTCATTGAACATCAGCCACTTAACATTTGTTAGTTATTGAACACACCTTATTATAATTCATTTGGTTCATCAGGCTGGATTTGAACTTCCAAGTTAATGGTGGGAGATTCTCCCTCCAGCCAGAAAGCCTTGAACCATTCAACCTCCCAAGAATGGGGCTGTGACCCCAGATTTGCAGAGCTGGAAGCACAAGTCTTTAGCCTGGTGATTACTGTACTCACATGAGAAGAAAGAGACCTGGAAACCAGCCACCTTGCCAAAGGTTGGTTTTGTATTGTATCCAATGATTTTTTTTTTAAAAACCACAAAATGTATAGACAGGTTGAAGAGTAGGAAATGACCAAGGACTCTCATTTCTCAAGTAGGTGCATTAATTACTGGGCCAGAGACTTACACTCATTCTTCAGCTTCCTGAATCTCTAATTCATTGTCTGAAGAGTGACACTGCTTCAAGAGCGGGGATTGAGAATGGCTGTCCCCCAGAATAGCCTGTAATCTGGTGGTTACAGTACTCTCCTTAAAGGAAAGAATGGTAACTGAGTCCTGATAAGTAAAGAAAGGAATTGAACCCAGGTCCCCAACATCCTGGGCAAATGTTCTAACCCCTGACCATATTATAAAAACTGTGAGTAGTGGTACCAGCAACTTCACCAGCTATGTTTAAAAAGACATTAGTGGCCACCGCTGCATTTTATATGAAGCACAACGTAGAGCGAGTGCTCCAAAGAATACCTACCAGACCTAAGGGCAGATAGGTGGGAACACCTAGTTTGTGAATCCAGAGGGATTTTAGGTACAAGTTCTGAGCTACTTAGCACTGTCAAGGCTGAAGTGCTTCTGAGCATGTCCAGAAGAAGAGCTTTGGGCATATGAGATTAACATGTGAAACCTGAAGCACCTGCAGACTTTTCTTGCTTCCAAACTTATCTGGCAGCTGAGCAGATCTTTTGAGGAATGTAATTTTGAACTTCTTGAGCCCCAGAAAATTGGAAGTGCAGTTAGTGGCCACGTTTGAGTGTTTGGCTTAAATGGCCTTCTCAGTATCACATAGATACTCCAAATACAGAAACAGAATCCAATTCTCAAGGGTGACAGTACTTGCCAGCAGTGCCTATAGTAAAATGTGACAAAATATGCAGTGGGAACCAGTCCAATTCATGAAGCAACTGCTGGAAAATAAATGTTTCTGGAGTTCTGGTTATATTATGATGTTTCTCTACAGAAGCCCTGGTTTTGGGATCATAGAGAATGCTGGACAGGGTACCCACAACAGGTGAGTCCCTCGGGAACAACATTGTACTTCATATATCATCCCTGAGCTCATGTTCAAACTGTAGGCCATGGCTGTGCCACTAACACTAGAGATGGGCCTGAACTCAGCCCTCAGGACCACACACATAAGAATCCATTTCCAGTCTCCAAATCCTAGTCTCATCATCTTTGTCTCCAGATTAATCCAGTTGCTGTAGTCACTGGGTGAAGGACTGCTAAGGTAGGTTATGGAGTCTCTTTCTGCAGATTGCAGTCATCCTCTGACAAGCATGTTATACCGTTTCCTTCTGTAGAGTTTTGACTTTTCAGTATTGTGGAGAAGGTGAGCTGATGAAGAAAAATGAACAATCAGTGAAGTTGAAGGAAAATGAGAGTCCTTGACCAGAGAAGCTAAGGCCCAATTCAGAACTGAAGAAGGAGAGAAGGAGGAGAAATCTCACAAGCTGATCTAAAGCCCTGAGCTGCCATTCTGTAACCTCTCCGAAGGAGAGCAGAACCTGTATGAGGCAGAGAGATTAGCAGCAACAGAGGAGTAACCTGTAGTTACAGGAAGACTGATTTACTGTGGGCTTCATGAGCCTCAGTTAGATTTTTCCTCATTTAAAAAAGTGAAATTTTACTTCACCTGCATTTCTTATGAAACATTTGCAAGGCTTTACGAGAGGCCATGGCATGTCTCTGCTCAAGTACAGATCCTCCATTGCAGTGCTTGGCTGGTAACTGTAAAAAGGCAGAGTTCAGTCTCATAAGTAGATTCAAGGCTTGCACTGTTTTACTTTCCAGTGAGTTATTATACCAGGTGAAGAGACAGGGAGGGGAGATTAAGGTTTCTTGGATTGGAAGTCAAGCCATTAGGTTACTGTACAGGTGGTTAAAATGCCCCCTTTTATCAAAGAGTAGTTTTCACCTGGGAATGACTGTTCCTAGCTTCTCCCAACACTCTTCTCTGTTCCCCCTCCCTGTCCCCCTTGCTTAGACAGTCTTCTAGCATTTGTGTGGGATATAACACTACCTCTCCCATTTGGTGTTGCAGCCCTTACTGCCCTCTCTGTTCTGGTACTACATGCTGGAGCTTTCCTTCTACTGCTCTCTGGTCTTCACCCTGCCCTTTGATGTGAAGAGAAAGGTGAGTGGCACCAGGGTGATGGAGAAAAAAGCACAGACAAAGGCATGGGTTTCATCCTGAAGAGAACGTTCTCCATGGCATGTGTGTGTATATTGGCCTGCCCTAGATTTTTCCAGTTTCCATCCTCATTCATGTGGGTATACGTGCAGCCTGCCACAGTGACTGGGCAGGTAACTGGGAAGATGAGAAACATAAACCGCAACTTCCACAGGTGCAAACTAAGATTGGGTGCCCAGCCTTGGGTGCCTTGAGTTGGAAGTTCCCAAATTTGAAAATGCAGTTATCAATTTGTGCTAGTGTGGGGTTTTGACAATTGCCAGTCCCATCCCAGGCCACACCAGGACCAGTGCGAGTCCCCAGTGTGGTCCCAGGGCCCGTATTCACAATCAGCTGATTGTCAGCACCAGCCTGGGCAGCCCCAGCTGTGATTTTCCTGGAGCTGTCTGGGCAGACAGTTAGCTGATTTTCAAAACCCTGAGTCTGGTAGCTCTGGGTGGGCTGCTGGGCATGGGGAGTGAAAGGGTCTTGGTGGGGAGAGCTGAAGAGCTTTTCCCAATGGCACCTTTAAACTCTCACAGCAGCCTCTGATCCTGGCTGCCAGGCACAGGGTTTAAGCACTCTTGCTATTTGTAACATGCAGAGGGAGCCCAAGTTTGTCCATCTCAAGCCCCATTGTCACCAGTATCACTTTCTCTCATTTCCTGCTTTGTTTCATTTCAGAGACCCAGGGATCAGTGTGGATGGTAGAAAAGGATACTTGGTGAGAGGGGCTCATTCACAGCCATCTTGAGAGGGTCTTTCACTTAGTGAGAGGGTCAGACCTTATTGGGGGGTCAAGAGGGGATGTGGTACCTCACTGAATTACCCAGTCCTTGGCCTCTTGATTGAACAGATTTCTGAATGTCAGGAGTCGTCAAGGAAGAACATAGCAAGAAACTTCATGTCTGAGAAGGGAACAGATTTGATTCTATTACAAGTGTTTTCCATGTGCACATCCTCATTGTGGGTGAACATACTTCAGTTTAGAAAGAGTCCAGCACAAGACACTGTAAATGATCAAGGGCCTGGGAGACAAGACAGAGGTTGAAAGAACTAGGGTTATTTAGCTTAGAGAAGAGAAGACTGAAGGGGGATTTGATAAGTCTTCAAATACTTAAAGGGTGATTATAGAGAGGATGGAGATATGCTTTTCTCTTTGGCTGTGGGGAACAGGAATAGGAGCAGTGGCCTCAAGCTGCAGCATGGGAAATTTAGGTTAGAGATGAGGAGGAACTTTCTGACTATGAGGGACATTGGAATCAGACAGAGAGAAGTTTTGGCACCTCCATCCTTGGAAACTTTCAAAAGCAGGTTAGACAGACACCTGGCTAGGATGCTTTAGTCAGGGATGATCCTATCTTGAGCAGGGGCTGGACTAGATGACAGCATGGACAAATATACCTTCTAATCACTGTACTAGTAGGGGATATTGTAACTTGGCTAGATGAAGCCTCTAATGAGCCAGCCTCTAAGCCACCATCAGTTTAAGACTGAATACTCTGTTGGCTTGTGACTAAAAAAACAAAACAGAACAAAACAAAACCTTCCTTTAGTTCTTTGTTTTGGGGCTGTCCATATCTTCCTTGAAGGTGTTACATTTTTCTTGGCTCTGATATGTCTGTTTCCATCATCGGGACGACTCAGATCTGGTTCTCAGCATCAGGCACACTTTGAATCCCAGTGTTTAGGGAGAACCCAGGAGAACTTTCCAGTTTCTAATTACTTAACCAAAAATAAAAATGTAAAAAAAAAAAAAAAAAAAAAAAAAAAAAAAAAAAAAAAAAAAAAAAAAAAAAAAAAAAAAAAAAAAAAAAAAAAAAAAAAAAAAAAAAAAAAAAGGAAAGGGGCTAGAGGAGTAGAAAGTCTCAGGACAGTGGCACTATATAAGACAGATACAGTTAAGTGGAGAGGAGCACAACCCCTAAACAAAAGAACTAAATGAAGATTTGGTTTTGGTTTTGGTTTTTAAATCATGCTGAAACATGAGCAAACACAATACTCAGTTTTGAGCTGATGGTGGCTGAGAGAAATTCCTCAGGGCAGTCCAAGGGGAGTGGTGGGGCCAGAGGCACTGCAATAGCAAAAAGACTCCAAGTACAAGCACTACAGGTTTATAGAAAAGTAGGGCTAGAAGGGACCTCATAAGGCCATCTAGTCCAGCAATTAGCTGGAACATAATGCTATATGTTCAGAGACATAACAGTTCAATTGTAACAGCTTATGTGCATTCCCAAGTTGCAATATCCTGTACTAGTACAGTGATTAGAAGGTACATTTGTCTATGCTGTTAAGTTCTTCAGATTCTCAAGGTAGTAATAGAGACAAATCTTCCTACTGGTGATTCATCTATTCTGATGATAATAGACTATCTGCTAGAACTCCCTGAGCATTTTTGGACAGTGTGGCATATAAATCTGGAAATGCATCAATTATTGTTCACCTAAGGGACTTTAAGACTCACCCCCAGGTGTGGGTCAAGAGAGAAATATCTGCTTGGATTCACCTACAGTGAAGATGTACATATGGACAACTACTCAAAAAAATTACTTACCAGAAAGAATTCAGTGAGATATGTTGGCCACGTGTATGTATGTATGCATCCCGTATGTATGCATCCTCCCCTCTTCCTCAGAGTTGCATGCAACTTAAGTCTCTGCATTTAAGGGGAAACTGAGGAGAATGAAGTATGCACTGCCCTCTGTACAGTGCACAATACAGGTACAGAGACAAACAATGTTATGGTACAGGTGCCCCCACAGTAAGAATATGCTTATAGACAACATATCTTGAAGAACTGTAGTTAGCAATTTCTCTTTCTTGCCCAAAGGAGAATTTGTTCTGACAAGGACTGAAGGTGGGTCTGGCCTTTTAATCTTTCCGGTGTACTGTAATTCTTTTTCATCAGGACTTTTATGAGCAGATCATCCATCATGCAGCAACTATTTTTCTGATCAGTTTCTCCTACTGTGCCAATTACATCCGCATTGGGACTCTGGTGATGGTGATCCATGATGCTTCAGATTGCATCTTAGAGGTAAGCTCTGCAGACTACATGTAGTGTAAATCCCAGCTCAGCCAGAGAGAGACTGAGTACTGTCAGTCATGACAGGGCATCCTTAATGAGTAAATGGATTGGTAGAGGTCTCAACCTTTTTAGACTCAATGCACCTCTATATATTTTTCTGAATTTAGTGGTACCCCCTTTCAAAACATTATAAAAATAAGTAGTGACATGTTTATGAATAGGCGTTTAAACTTTTCTTTTTCTCTAATGTTTCAGGGTTGTTGGTTGGAGCTGTTGGCTGTAGATTTTTCTCTAATCCCTTTACTCTTAGATTAGATCTCTTTTTAAAAAGACTTTTAGACTTTTTAAAATTACAAACATGGAAATAAAGCAAAAACTACTTTTAAGGCAATATTGCAGTTGTGAAGTTATGGAAATACAAGAAGTCAGAAAATTAAAAAAAACCTCAGGGTCACAGCCCCATAGTCACATGGGTACAGTGGTCTGACCACAGGGTAGGGGCCAAAGGTTTGCACTTGGAAAAGCTGAAACTTCCTTTCCTTACCAGCAGAGCAGCTTTCTCTCTCTCAGTTTGGCAGCAACAGTCTCTCACACAAACAGTTCAGGAAAAAAGACCCTTGTTGCAAGACCCTAAGCAAATCCCTTTATCCTAAACACTGGATGCAGAGGCTGGCTACTAGAGACTATTTGGGAAGCTGGGGCTGATGGGTATACTCTTGAACAAGAAAGGCGAAAAATGGAGTGGGAGCTGCCCGGTGTCCCAGTGAAGACAATGTTTGAGAATCACTATGCTAGAGCTTGGCTTAGTTCACTTATAAACTATGGCAGAACTCTAGGGAATATTCATCTGTACTGCAGAAGCACCAGGCAGTTCTGCACTGCTGGCCATCTGTCTGGAGGATGTTCTGGACAGGAACACTTGAGTTATTGCACTTAGAATGATAGAATCATAGAAAATTAGGGTTGGAAGGGACCTCAGGAGGTCATCTAGTCCAAAGCAGGACCAGCCCCAACTAGATCATCCAAGCCAAGGCTTTGTCTAGGTGGGTCTTAAAAACATCCAAGGATGCAGAGTCCACAACCTCTCTGGGTAGTCTGTTCTTATATTATACTTCCCTCTTAGTGACAGAGTTTTTCCTAATATCTAACCTTAACTTTCCTTGCTGCAAGTTAAGACCACTGCTCCTTGTTCTGTCATCTGCCACCACTGAGAACAGTCCAGCTCCATCCTCTTTTGAACCATCCATCAGGTAGTTGAAGGCTGCTATCAAATCCCTCCTCAATCTTCTCTTCTCCAGGTTAAGTAAGCCCAGTTCCCTTAAACTCTCCTCATAAGTCATGTGTGCCAGCCCCCTAACCATTTTCATTGCTCTCTGCTGGACTCTCTCCAAATTGTCCACATCGTTTCTGTAGTGGAGGGCCCAAACCTGGACACAGTATTCCAGATGTAGTCTCACCAGTGCCAAATAGAGGGGAAGATCGTACTAATGCAGCCCATTATACTGTTAGTCTTCTTGGCAACAAGGGCACGTGTTGGCTCATATTTGGTTTACTGTCCCTGTAACCACCCTAGGTCGTTTTCTGCAGAGCTGCAGCTTAGCCAGTCAATCCGCAGCCTATAGCAGAGCATGGAATTATCCATCTTACATGCAGGACTTTGCGCTTGTCCTTATTGAACCTCATGAGATTTCTTTTGGTCCAATCCTCTGATTTGTCTCTGAATCCTAGCCCAACCCTCCAGCATATCTACTACTCCCCGCAGCTTGGTGTCTGCAAACTTCTTGAGGGTGCACTCTATCCCACCTTCCAGGTTACTGATGAAAATATTGAACAAAATCAGCCCCAAGACTGACCCCCGGGGCACTCCACTTGATACTGGCTGCCAACTAGACATTGAGCCATTGACTACTACCCTCTGAGCCAGATGATACAGCCAGTTTTCTAGCCACCTTTCATCCAACCCATAGTTCCTTAGCTTGCTTGAAACAAGTTGTAGGAGACCATTGCAAAACCCTTGCTAAAGTCAAGATGTATCACATCCACTGGTCTGCCTGCATCCACAGAGCCAGTCATTTCATCCTAGAAGGCAATCAGGTTGGTCAGGCATGACTTGCCCTATGTGAATCCATCCTGATGGTTCCTAATCACCTTCTCCTCCTCCAAGTGCTTAGAAATGGATTGCTTAAGGACCTGCCTCATGATTTTTCTAAGGATTGAAGTGAAGCTGACCAGTCTGTAGTTCCCTGGATCCTGCTTCTTCCCTTTCTTTAAGTTGGGCACTATATTTGCCCTTTTCAAAATATCTGGGACCTCTCCTGATAACCATGAGTTTTCAAGGATGATGGCCACTGGCTCTGCAATCACTTACCCTGATCTTCCTCTTGTTACCGACATACTTGTAGAAACCCTTCTTGTTACCCTTCACATCCCTTGCTGGCTGCAACTCCAATTGTGCTTTGGCTTTCCTAATTTCATCCCTGCATGTCCAAGCAATACTCTCACACTCCTCCCTAATTGTTTGCCAAGATTCCACTTCTTATAAGCTTCCTTTTTGTGTTTAAGCTCACTGAAGAGTTCCCTGCTATGCCAAGCTGGTGTCCTGCCATGCTTGCTAGTCTTCCTGCACATCAGGATGCTTTGTTCCTGTGCCCTCATTAAGGTTTTTTTAAAGTACAGCCAATTCTGCTGGACTCCTCTCCGCCTCCGACTGGCCTCCCAGGGGATACTGCCCATCAGTTGCCTGAGGAAGCCAAAGTCTGATTTTCTGAAGTCCAGGGTCCATACTCTGCTACTCTCCTTCCTTCCTTTCCTCAGGATTCTGAACTCAATCATCTCGTGGTCACGGCTGCCCAAGGTGCCATCCACTAACTACATTCCTCACCAATTCTTTCCTGTTTGTGAGCAGCAGGTCAAGAAGAACACAGACCCTACTTGGCCTCTCTAGCCAACAGGAAGTCCCCAGCACTCTCCAAAAACTTCCTGGATTTCTTGCTCACTACTGTTTTGCCCTCCTAAAAGATGTCAGGGTGATTGAAGTCCCCCATGAGAACCAGGGCCTGTGATTAGGAAACTTCTGCTAGCTGTTTGAAGAAAGCCACCTCCAGCACTTCCTCCTGGTCTGGTGGTCTATAGAAGACCCCCACCATGACATCCCCCTTGTTACTTTCCCCTCTGAGCCTAACCCAGGGCCTTTCAACAGGCCTATTTCCAGTTTCATACTGGAGCTCTGAGCAATCATACAGCTCTTTTATATAAAGCACAACTCCTCCTCCCTTTTCTCCCCTGCCTGTCCTTCCTGAACAGTGTATCCATCCATGGCAGTGCTCCAGTCATGCAAGCTCCCACAAAGTCTCTGTTATTCCAATCACGTCATAGCTCTGTGACTGTGAGCAGACATCTAATTCTCCCTACTTGTTTCCCAGGCTCCATGCATGCATGTACAGGCACCTGATTGCTTCACATTCTCAGGAAATGAGAAGGCCTCTCCTGTTGCCCCCTCCTGCTTGTTCTTCCAGGTCACCCACTTCCCCACTTACTTAAGGGCTTTAGTCTCCATCCCCCAGTGAACCTAGGTTAAAGCTCTCTTCACTAGATTAGCGAGCCTGTCTGAGAAGATGTTCTTCCCTCTCTTCATGAGGTGGAACCCATCTCCTTTCTGTACAGATTTGTAGTAGCTGTGTAGGGTTCTGGACTATTATTGCGCTTGTTGGTTCAGTAGAGTTGAGCACTGGCTGAACTAAGTAGTGGCCCAGGACTGTAATAGCAGGGATGCTGCAGGTCAATATGATGGTAGAGCATTGTAGGGACCTAGGGACAGCCTGACATACAACCCCAGAAATGCACCTTAATGCTGTTGAGTTGCAACATCCACCATCATAGGCCTTCTTGCTTAGGACATCCAGAGTAGGGCATAATTAGCTACATGAACACTGACTCCTGCCCTTCTGGCTAGGAAGTGGCACACGTGGGCACATACAGAAGGGCTGTTTCCACCTGTTCTATTTTATTTTTCTTTCTTTTTCAGCCAACTAAGATAGTCAACTACATGAAGTGGAAAAGAGTTTGTGATGGTCTCTTCATCACCTTCTCAGCTGTTTTCCTCATCACACGCCTGGTTGTTTTCCCCTACAAGTGAGTCTGTGTTTCTGTCTGCAGGGTTCAAATATGTATCTCAGTGAAGCACTACAGAGTTGTAAGTAGTCATCCCAATGCTGAATCTCCAGCAGCAGTCTCTGCTTTCTTCATGCCCAAGAAAATACATAACTCTTCTGTGCAGGGCTGCATCACATGTTTCTATTACACCTTGTTTCAGTGTGAGCTGGGCAGTCATGTCCCGTGGAAGTCTATCTGTTTGGCTCACAGATTAGAGACATTCACCCAGCCTGGAAAGTTTCTGTTCATTTCTGTCTCTCAGAGGCTTCCAGGAGGTCATTCCCTACATCCCCTGACCTGCCAGACTATTAACCTACCACAAGCCTCCTTGGGCCATTGTCTCTCCCCTTTATCCCTCATTACCTGCCCACTGACTGTTCCCATATACATACAGCAATCAGGACTCATTGTAGAGGTGATCTCTTTTATTAGACCAACTAGATTTTTGCAAAAAAAATTCTTTAATTGCAAGCTTTCGGGTACAAACACCCTTCTTCAGGCATAGAAAAGATTGTAAAAGTTCTCCTGGGTAGAAATGAAAGCCCGGAAGCTTGCAATTAAAGACTTTTTTTTTTTTTTGCAAAAATCTAGTTGGTCTAATGAAAGATATCACCTCTACCATGAGTCCTGATTGCTTTTGCCTCTAGACCAATATGGCTACAACCTGGATACCTCACCCCATACGCATACATAACTTCTGAGTCTTCTGAAATTTCTATCAGAAGACAAGTCTTCTTCCTGAGCTTGCTGACAGCCAAAAAATGATGGAGTAGTGTGAATTTCCCTGCTCCCTATTAAAATGACTGATGTCCCAACTTGAAATGATGTTTTACTGTTTTCATTCATTATTCATTGTTTGCCTCAGTGGAGGGAATGGGAAAGGTGGGCAGAAAGAAGCCTGTAAGATTGGGAATTGGTAGTACTGTAGAGAAGGAAAAGCAGAGGAGACTATTAGAAAACAGAATGGGGCAGAGAGCCAGGAGAAAAAGAAGGAACAGGAACAGCAGTCATCTGAGGGAAAGCATTTTCCCATGGAGTGAAAAATGTGACAAAAGGACAGCAGGGCATTAGAAAATAATAGCTAAATATTTAGTATTATGGAAAGACTAGATTCTTCTTGTAGTCTCTGAGCAAACCTCCTGGTAATTCCAGTGAAAGCTTTGCCTTATGAGGGGTCTACATTTATTTTGGCCTAAATTTATTCCCTTCCCACTGATTAATTCAATGTGTAGCTATCTTGCTCTCCTGCATATGTGTAACATCCTGCTCTGGGGCAGCATTGCTCTTTCCCCTTATCTAGATGAAAAATGAAATACTACTGTACTGTGAAACAAGCAATCAGCTAAACATACAAACTTCATCAGTTTTAATATCAAGCTTTGGCCCTTTTCAACCTAATGGGAAGCTCAGAATTCATTGGAGTTCGCTCCCCAAAGAACACTTTAGGGAAATGTTCTTGGACTCCAGTCAGCTTTGAGTTGGCACCAGGTTACACTTACACAGCCCTGGACATAATGAGGGAGTCCTGCCTCAGTACAGTGTATAGCAGGCGGCCTAAGAGGCAGAGTACAGAGGATCTCAGGAGCAAAGTTATGAAAAATGCAGGAAGGTTACAGAGCAGGTTGGAATCATTCTTCCATGTAGATGACTTAGTCGTTGTCCTTTATTGATCTGTCTGATTTACCCTTGGTCCAGAGGAGTCAGCCTCAGTATCAAGCATCTGTCACCCAAAACTGAAGCAACAAGTCACTCATCTTAGCGGCAGCAGATCTTGCTCAACTGGATTTAAAAAACTGGGTGCTTTGGGAGAGTATATTAACAGGGAGTATGAGATGTTAGGGTTCTGTGTCTGGCAACAGCCCAGAATGATGAGAAAAAATCATTAGACCCTATTGGACGATGCTGTACATGATGCGGAGAGAAATCGCATGGCATGGGATTTCGCAATCACATTCTTTCAAGTCTAAGCCAAATCATTACCGTCATTTTTCTGCCTACATAATTATTTATGTTGTTAGTCATCAGATTATTAAAATCTTTTAAAGCTTAGGCTAGTGTACTTAAGTGCCCTGGGGATGGGTACCTTTTGGCACTGGCAGCGCCTAGTGTGATAACTGTTTGCTTTTATTTGTACTAAATGTACTAGCTATTCACCCCAAATGTTACTGGAATGAGCATCCACAACTGCACTGAAAATCCTAGTCATGTCGTGGCTGTCCCAAATTCCACTGGTTGTGATGCCTCCCTCCCCCCGCTGCCCCCAAAGGTCATGAAAGTATAGTTGCATTCCCATAACATCCACCCCCAAGCCACACCCAACTTCCCCTGAACTGAACTACAACCGGTACTGGCAGAGAGTCAGATAACCCAGTGTTTCACTACCTGACCTTCTGACTTCTCTATCGGATGAGATTCGAAGAATCCGGCCCAGAAATGTATTTTCCACACTGTCCCAGAAACTGTTGACCCTGCTGCCTTGAGCTCTGATGAGTCTAGGCCAGTGCTTTAGCAAGATATGCTAGTAACTATAGTGTTTGTCTAAATAAAATCTAAAACCGCGAGTGAGATAGAATGAGTCACTGTCACAGAATAAGTCACTGTCACAAACCTGAAATGGAGAGCTCATATAGTTCAACAAAGGAACTAAGCCCATCTCACTCTTAGATGGGAGTGGAAAGTGAGCTTCCAAGTGATATGTGTAAGGAAATATGCACTGACCTGAACCTTTACTTGAGGCTAAAGCTGAACCTTGTGAGGTTGACTTGGCACTCTCCCTGCTGAGATTTCACTCCTGTCTTTACTGAGATACTTTCTCTCCTGCAGGGTGCTCTACAACACATACTACTACTCCATGGAGCTATTCCAGCCCTTCTTTGGATATTATTTCATGAATGCTCTCCTGATGATACTGCAGCTGCTCCACGTCTTCTGGTCCTGTTTAATCATTCACATGGTCTACAAATTCATCCTCGTTGGCACGGTATGGATTAGCTTGCAGTCCCCATACTCTTTGGGGAGGGGGTTTCCTCTGGTCTGCTGTGGAGCACATTAGTTCATTTGTGATGGATTCTCCCCAACCCTTGTGCATTCCAAAGGTGACATTCTGTTCCTTTCTTGATCATCTAAATATCCAGATTTGGTTTTCTCTGTGACGTTGTATATTGGTAATCAGAGCATTTAGAAAGCCCCCTCTCCTCATCTTCCCTCCCCTCACCCCCTCCAAAACATCGTGCCACCAGTGCTCTGTTGAATCCACCTGGCTTTGCAGGCTGGATCCAATCTATGGGCCATATGTTGCTGACCTCTGGCCTGGAAGATGGGAATCTGCAGACAACAGTGTTATCAGAAGGGGGTCATCAGTGTTGTCATCTGACTCCATTAATGTTACCATTTGAGCGTTACTGGTAACACCAGGTTTCTTCATTATGGATGATTGGTGCATGCGCTATCAGGATGCTGTCTGTGATGCTGTTTCTCTGACATGCCATGTATGCCCCTAATTGTCTTATTACTGCAGAAAGCACAACCACAGCTCAGTGTGCAAATCTCAGCCAGGTTTATTGTCTACAAACAAGCCTGTTCAGCCATGGCAAGCTGGTACATGGTGCTCTCATGTTCCAGTTTGCACCAGTTACTGGAACCTTCCCAGCAAATAGGGAGGCATATTTACCTGGTCACTCTGATCCTTGCCTTAGTGGTTTAGTGTACTATACTGGTCTTATCAATTCCCCTCTCTCCATTAACCTTGCAAAGTGTGTATAAGGACTAATCATCTAACTTTCCCAGCAGCTACATATAAACAATATGTGGTATGCCTAACTAGCTCTCAGTGGGTTCATCTACATGAAACATTTACTGTGGAGCTGACTAATTAGCTCTGCAGTAAAACATCACTGTTTACATGTGTGATGTTATTAGGGCAGAGTAAACTAATAAACTCCGCCATAGGATAGTACTGCCAGACACAAATACTATCTTACAGCGGAGTTATTTACTCTGCCGCAGCAGACATGTAGATGCTGATGGGGATGGCTGGGGCATGAGGGTGCTACAGTGTGGGAGCTGCCTTGCAGCTAGCCCTGCAATATAGCACTCTTATATCCCAGTCAGCCCTTCTGCATCACATTAAACCAGGTCAGAGCAACCCCAAGCCCAGTAAGGCCTACTTTGGTCCTTGCTTTTAGCAGGGCCCATACGTGTTTTGTTATATAGCCTGATCACTAGTTGTATTCATCTGGATTCCAGCAACTCCTGTAGACACTAGGGCTATGCAGAGCTTTGTTTGCTGATTTGATTCAGTGGAGATTTAGCCTGATTTGGCAGTTGAATCTCTGAATCCGAATCAAATCAGGAGACCCTTTAATCTCTCCGAATCAGTTTGGAGAGATTCGGAGAGATTCGATGATTCAGACATAGACACAGCATTATATGTTTTTTCTAAATACCTCAAGGTACCAGGTGGCTCGTGAAT